ACTTGTTTGGTCATTTTAACTTAGAGTATTTTTCAACTTGTTAGAGAATTGGGGGGGGGGGCTTACTGGTTCCCACTAATAGTCAATTAAAATCTTTTAATTTACAACAGCCTTTTTATTATGTTCTTCACAATTGGTGGTGATGTATCCAAATTTAAAACTATACCATGGATTTTACCATCCATTTATTGATTGCTGATAGAAGCATTGCCACTGCAATAAAAATTTTAGTTACATTATTTTCAATTAGCATTTTTTCCATTTCTTCATATATTTCATTAGGCAGCAAATTTCACAGCTCTTTTTTGTCAAAGCCGTTTGGCACTTTTTTTGTTATTGTATTTTCTCGGCACCAAGCATCATTAGTTTGGTTTGATTTCATTTCTGACCCAACTCATTTTTCATTTTTCTTTCTTTTTTCTAAAACTGAAGTGGATTTTTGTGATTCAAGATTTAGAAAAAAGTTGCTATCCTGTTTCTTTAAGAAAAAGCTATGCTTCACAAACAATACTGTTTGAATAACAACCTAGTGAAATTAAAATGCAACTGGAACCTGATATGGCTGTATTTTCTGCCAGTATGTTTTGAGTATTTGATGGATGAACAGATTTCGAGAAGTGAGTAAAACAGAGAGGTTACCTTTTATTAAAACTTTAATTTTGATAAAATAACAGCAATAATAATAGACTGAACAAAGTAATAAGCTGGTTGAAATCAGAAAGTTAAGAATGAGCACAGTTTGCAGTAGTAGTGGAACTTAGGTTAATATGGACATTATTTTTTCTTCTTTCTCTGCTACACTAACAAATGAAAGCCACAATGCATTTCACTCCAAACAAACATCAGTTTTTGGGCTTCACTTATTGTGTATAGGACTAATAAGATAAGAAAATGCTGAATACATCTCTCAAACACAACAGCTCGAGGGCTGAAAATGAAAATGACGTTACTTTACTGGTAACCAAAACATGCAGGAGCATTCAGTACTATCATGGATGATCATGATTTTTGGCAAAAGAAATATCTTGAATAATTTGAACAAAGATTGATTTACAGCACAATTGTTTCAGTACCATATTCTCTGTTCCTACATTGTGTTAATAAATAAATAAATAATTAAAAAAAATTAAAGGTTTCAGATTTTAAATTACGTCCAAAGGAGCTTTTTTTAACATTTTGTGTGTTACCTTTATTTATTAAATATCATGTTCTTTGCACTTAAACCATAAAATTCAGTTCAACAACAATGTCCCAAAATAATTTTAAAATGAGCATATCTTTAAAATCTCTGATACACAGCTCCGCACGCTGGAAATAAAAAGCCCCCCCCCCGGTATAGTGTTGCCATTGCTCGCTTTTAAATCGTTGAGTTTGTAAATAAGAAATTCGTTAAAGTTTTACAAAATATGAAATCAATAATAAAAAAAGTTTCAAATTTGGCTTTCAGATGCCCATATTCGCAGTAGGATTACGTCACTCAAAATTGGATGGCTCTAGGTATCATTGTTTTATCACAATGTGAGAAACATACATACATTTATGCAGATTCTTCGTTATTCAATTTCTTTAAATATAATACAGGGTGATAGTATTTGGTGGCAATGATTTGAAAAGTGATACGTCGTCTATAGAGTTTCGACGCAAAATCACAAAACGAAAACAACAGTCCTTCAGAGACAAAGCCCCTTTGGACTAATAAATAAATTTAAAAAAAGGTTTTATGGTAGGGCTGGATAAGCTTGATATGGATTATTTTATGGATTTATTCGGCATGAATCAATTCTAGATATTGGGCACTCAGATTTCAAACTTTGCACTGTATTAGACAAAACTGCTTTAATAATGAATTTACAAAATCTTACAGAAATTAGGTTCCAGGAGAAAGTGCAAGAATGATACAATAAATGAGTCACAATAAGTTAGGTTCAGTTTTTGCACATTCTCTTAAAAATATTTCTCACACATAACTTTTCCTTAGTACCTTTCTCACTATTCACTCTCCCCTTCTGAAAAGCCACCAACCATTGACGACTAATTTATCGCCAAACTAAGACATGAAAGACACTAAGAATTACATAAAACAAGCAACCAATTAACAAAAGTAAAAAGGAAGAAATACGCATAATAAGACAATTACTTTTTTTTGCTTTTTACTCCCAGAAAATCAGCATTACGCACAACTTGGCTCTGCACACGTCATTATTCTCTCCACGTATACAGTAATCTTTTATTTCTTAAAAAAAAAAAAAAAAAAAAAAAAAAAAAAAAAAAAAAAAAAAACCCGATCCCACAGAAAATTGCACACACACTTTAGTTTTTTCATGTCATAGCAATCCGCTGTTGTTTAAAAAAGGAATATCAGAGATTAGCACAAATTCAGCATTGGCATATAAATTTTATCTGTAAAATTAGATCAATTACAAAGTGGTATAACTTCAAAGAGAGTGAAATTTGCATTCTTAACCATTAGGCACAACACCATATTTCCAACACCATTCCTAAAAAAAAAAAAAAAAAAAAAAAAAAAAAAAAAAAAAAAAGAACATTAATAACAATCCTTAATGCAACAAAAGCAAACCTTTATAACTAGTGCACATCTGCTATGCACATGCACATACCTGGGTTGCTACATGAATTCATTTTGGTAGTGGCATAGTGCATTGCCTTGTGAATACTTTCCCTTTTACAAAACAATGAAACAGTTAGTAATATTAAGAGTACAAATAAATCTTCACCGCTTTTTAATAGGAATTTGGCATTCTTATGAAAGAATGGTACCTTATGTTTTATTCAAAGTATTATCCATCATTAGCCACTACCTTTTCCCACTTTTCTGATAGCATAGAGATACCACATTGGAAGAATGCTTCATCTTTTGAGGCTATCAACATATCAATCCAATTTTTGATATCTTCATAGGATGTGAAGCGCTGCTCAGACAGGCTATGTGACATCAATCGAAACAATAATCAGAAGGCACAATATCTGGCGAATACAGCAGGAGGGGTAAAATTTCTCATTTGAGTATTTCTGAGAAGGTTTTAGACACATGTGAATGAGCATTTTCATGCAGAAGAATAATTGTGTAACATCTGGAGTAGTAGTGGGTGCATTTTTCTTTGAAAGCTCGGCTCAGTCTCATCAGTTGTGCTCGGTAAAGAGCCCCAATAATGGTTTTATTCAGTTTGAGCAACTCATATTACATGACAGCAAGTTGATCTCACCATGTACACAACATGATTTTTTTCCATGAATATTCTGCTTGGCTATCGATGTTGAAGCACGGCCAGATAGTCTCCATGATTTCTTCTGCATTGGAGTATTGTAGTGGATCTGATTTTCCTCACCAGTGATGCAAAAAACATTTTGTTTATGCCTGGAAAGCAGCATTTCACATGTAAAAAAAAAATTGGCATTCAACGTTTCTCAGATCCAGTTCAAATGGAATCCAATTTTCTTGTTTTTGAATCATTTCGAATGATTTTAAATGCTGTAAAATTACTTGTTGAGTCACTCAATATAACAGCAAGTTCTATCTGTGTTTGGTACAAATCTCTTCATCCAATACAGTTTCAACTGCGTGTCTTTGTACACTTTCATACTTCTGCTCTGTTCTTTGTCTTCGATATCAATTTCCCCATTCTAAACTTTTGAAACTGCTCACAATAACTTCTCTCACTTAAGGAAGCTCTACCATATGCTTCTACAAGCAATCGATGTGCCTCAGCTGCAGATTTCTTCAAATTAAAGAAGTACTAAGTGAAAAATTCCCATAAATGATGCTCATTTGAGTCAAAAACTTGACACTTTTGCATGAAAAAAAATATATGATGTTGATATAAAATCTCTAATATTTTAATGCTTTGTTGTTAGCAGATGTCCAGCCTTACGATATGATGTTTTATATCAGACGGTTTTAACCATAAATTACTGGTGGTGCCATTTTTTTCAAATGGTGGAGACTTATTTGAACTATCAATACATATTATTTAAATTGAGAACTCCTGAAATATTCTGCCACTACTTCATCACAAAGCCACTGCAATGTGCAAGAAATGGAGGAACTTCTATAATATGAATGTTAAATCTTTAGCCTTGATTTCTTTTTGCTGATTTTTGAGAGTTTCACACTTTGACTTTAAATACAATTACATAGCTGCCAACTTGCACGATCTCCTGCTAGGTTATCAAATCTCCTAGTTTTTAATTTTTAACTTTGACAAAGGTAAATACTTCCCAGTAATAAATTAAATTCATTGAATTAATGAAACTTAAATTGTGCAAAACCCAATTCTCCATCCCTGGCAATTCTCAACAAAATATTTCCATTAAATTTTATTTTAACCTATATTTACCACACACATAATTAATTTGCCATACACATAGAACTTATGAAGATTTAGCCAAAGTTTAATCAGTTAATATTTGTATTTAATTTTGTTTCACGTGAAAATACGATACATTATTCATTCATTAAGTTCATTATTCATTAAGTTCATTGATACAACAATACATACATGAATTATTAATTATATTTTTATGATAGTTAAAAGTTCTTGGATAAATAAAAGCTCTCATTCCCTATTCACTATTTTTTCAGTATAAAAGTGTAAAAAAAAATATAAAATCAAATTAGCCAAAAGTACATAAAATTTAGAATATCTAATTAAATATTATATTTTACATCAGAATCACATTTTAAATACCTGATGTTTGTTTAAAATGGCATCAATGTGAAGTGCATAAGTCTCTTGGTTTTTCATATTTCAAGCTGAGCAGCTATGATATTCAATTTAAGGTCCTCCATAACTATGCAAAGTTTGAGTGAAATTAGTGAGAGAAGGTTGTAAGAAGTTGTAAGAGCTCCCATTTTAAGAAGGAAATGATTTTTTTTAGAAATACATACAATATAAAATTGGTTAATAATTGCATAGGAACATTTTCCAATTTCCATTTCACAAAAATTTACATAAGTTCACTTAGTAAAGAAAAGTTTTTACCTGATCCCAAAAGTCTAACTGAATTAGAAGTGTTATTAGAATTTTTTCAATAAGCATTAAAGCTATGTATACAGCACACTGAGACAGCCATGCATTTACATATGGAGGTTTGCCTGAAACAGTTTAAAGAAATTCAAAACTAAATTTAATGGTTGCAAATGTATTTTACTTGGACAGAATACAATATATAGCAAAAATTGTACACTAAAATATTATTAAAAAAAGTCAACAAGAGAGCAAAATCTTCCTTTTATGTTAATAAGAAAATTATGTTCCTTACATTTCTCTCCTCAAAAAGATACAATTTATATGATGAATCACTGTTTTCAAATTATGATACTTGCATATTAAATGGAAAATGAACTATTCAAAAACTGTCTATTGACTGTCAGGTTTTATGGAACAAACTCAAGATGAATTATACTATAATACTAAATGATAATAATAATAATAATAAAAAACACTTTGCATTTGATGAATTCTAGTTCATAAAATTTTAGTTACAAATATGATTTCTCAATTTATAATGATAGTCATGCATTCTTTTTGTTGATGCAGTTGTCTACCCACATTCTGCAACCAGTTGAAAATGTTTTACAAAATCTCCTTTAGCATTTAAACAATCTAATGATTTCTAATTAAGTGATACTGCTTTCATATCTGCAAATATGATGTTCTAATATTATTTTATTGTGTGCAAAAGTTCTATCCACTTTTTAGTCAAAAAAGAAAAAGTGAAGAATATGAAACATAAGGTATGAATGATTTCACATAAGTATCATCATTATATAATGATCTATTGTCATCTGTTTGCAGAAGGACCAAACATTCTTTAATTATCATATACCTGCCTTCCACATCATTGAAAACATTCTGTAATGGGATTAAAAATTCCTTTCTGTGACAGTCATAAAAATAGGTAAATCATAGCTACAAAATTGGGAGAATATGCTGAATGGGTATGTATTTCCAAACAAGTGCTGCAATTTTTCATAACTAATTCAAGGAAAATGAATCAGCATTATCATGATGAAAAATAATGCTTTTGTGATTGATAAGCACTGGCACCTTAAATAACAATTCTGCTTTTATTTCAGCTGTTGGCATTAGAGGTTAGCATTTATTGTTTGTTTAGGTTTGAACACTCCTACCTTTTCTACAACACTAACATTTTTTAATATTGGATGGCTTCTTGATAGTAGCCATAGGTCATAGCAGAAGAGAATTTGAAACAAAATTTGTCAACTGGGCAGAAGAACACAAACTCGAAATGCAGGGACTCATGATAAATTATGGAAAGAGAGATAACTGCATTCCAGAAGTAAAAGTTGGAGAGGGGAAAAAACAAAAAATTTTTCAACACTTCAAGTACTTAAATACAGTCATTACAGATGACAGATTTGTCAGGCCTTTGCACATTTCTTGCAGCAAGCAAAGACTACACAAACCATCATATTCTTTTCTCAGAACAACAGCTGCAAAATGAGTGGTTTCTCTCATAAATGCTAAAGATCTGTTATTCTATAGTTGCAGAAAAAGTGTCATTGCATGGAAATTCCATAAGAGTATGATAAACCTATTTAGATCAACATTATAGCCATTTTTTGTTGAGTACCCACTGAGGAAACCTCAAGTTCCCCCATTAGTGCCCTAAATTTGCTGCCTCTCACTTCATTCTGTGATACAAAGAGAATGTGCAGTGGTTTGGATATAGAGATTAAAACACAATAAAACACTATGGAACTGTTACTGTTATACTCTAGCACTTAGAGGAATTTACCATTAGAGTTGAGCTCAAACTACTGGCTGTTCCAAACAATGATCCTTTAGTTACAGAGAACAGGGTACATGCAGTCAATTTTGCAAAATAATAGGGAACAATGCAATTCAGACCTGCTCATAACAAGGCTGTTTCAATAACTCAATCTTTCAAACTGAGACAGTTGCTCTCACAGCAGCAGTAGAATTTTGCATTCAAACAGATTAACCTTTAACTATATATAACAATTCAGCCTCCAGCTTGATGGCCGTATAGGGTCACTGATGCAAAATCCAAACACTAAAACAGATTTACAGATTACTGTTCTCCCTGCTTGGGGTCCATGAGGCTGAAACTCCAGTGGCTTTGTGAATATACTGGAATGTTTAGCAATGAAAGAGTGAATGAAACAGGAAAGCAAACAGCTTCATACTCAAACATAAGAAACCTTTTTCATATAACTTTTAAACTTGCAGGCAGCAAGAAATTGCCAGCTTATGAAACAATGCAATAAGGTTTCAAAGGCAGAAAAGTACATTAAATTAGCACAAAGCTCAAAGTGAGTTAGCCCAATTTCTCACATGTGACATCCACCATGTGGGTTTGTACGTTTGTAGACCTATGATTTGTTGACACAGGACCACTGTGCTACCCACAAAAAGTAGGCACAAGATCATTTCATATGGGGATGATACGAGTGGAGCAAGTGCTCTTGAGGGATAAGTCACACTTTAGGGTACAGCTTGACAATAGGCAGATTCTCATCTGGAGAGAATTATCAGGCACAGAGACTTATGGCTCAGTGATGTAGGGATGAGATACTGAGTGATCCTACCGTGAAACAGAAGAGGTTAAAAGGTAAAATTATAACATTATTATAAATTACACTGTAGAAATCAGAATGAATTCATTTGATGATGCCAGGCCACATCATGCTCAGGTAGTGGACAATTTCCTTTATGACGAAGGAATCCTTTGAATGGCTTGGCCAGAATGTTCTCCAGATATGAAACCATTATAACATGTTTGGGACATTCTGGGGAGAAGGGTTGCAAATTATTTATCACTTCTAGAAACAATTACACAATCTGAAAACTTTCTTTTACAGGAACAGGAAATAATACCTCAGTCCTTCATTGGTAACTTCAATGATTCCATGCCTTGTAGTTTGTGATATTGCTTTTGGTCAGGGAAATCAAACCCTTACTGAAACTCATTTGTAGCCAAGAAAGCACATATTTTTGTTTGTTTGTATAATATGTTTGTTTACTGACACATGTCATCAATAAAATGTAATTATTTCTTGTTTGTTGGATCTTTTCCTTTTCTCATAACTGAAAACATCAATGCATCATATGCCAGTCACCAAAACATTTCATCATCTCCAGTGTATATCCAAAACATAATAATTGTTTTCAGAAGTGCATCTCCTAATTCCACACACACAACAAAAAGCCTCCTCGCAGAGAATGTGCAAGGCTTTTTGGTGTGTGTGTGTGTGTGGTATTGCTTAAAAAAAAAAAAAAAAAAAAAAAAAAAAAAAAAAAAAAAAAAAAAAAAAAAACACCTCAACAGGGAACACAAAGAAACATGAATTAGGTGCAAAGGCAAAGAATGTGAAGCAGGACTTTGCCTGCTTAATATTCTTTGCACAGGCCTTGTTTTCAAATTTACTATATTAAATTTAATTTCTAGCAAAATTTGTGTAAACGTTGAATACTTTCATTAGTATACATAATTTACATTTGTATTCTATAAAATAAATCATAATTTAATCAAGATTTATTTTCAGATTTATTATTTATTTTATACCGCTGGCCATGAAAATTGGAACACCAGGAAGAAATGATCTGACAAATGTCAAAATCACATGAAAGGAAGAAGTTGGGATATGCATATGAATAGTATTTCAATGCATTTAGACAATGCAGGACTTTGACTTTGAAGACTTTTGAAGTTTGACTTTGAAGACTTTTGAAGCACTGCATAGAAGAAAAATTGTGTAGTGAATTTCTCATTCGGAAAGTGCTTTATAAGGTTGGCGTTTGCTCAGAATATCATGTTATGCTTGAATAAGAGGAGGAAATGCTTACCAGCAAGTTTCGATAGAGGGAGGATCATTGTCTATTGAAAATGTAGATTATCATTTCTTGATATCGCCGGCCGCACTGGCTGACATCCAACACTGGCATGCAAATATGGAAATCAATGGATTGGTGAGGGTCATACTGAATGGCATGCGGGATCTCAATGACCCCCATAACTAATGCCAGAGAGGACAGGCATATTGTGAGGTCAGCCCTGCAAAACCATACCACCACATCATGAACCATTAGACAGGAAATGGGCATGTTTGCAGTACACCCAGTATCAGCTCATAAAGTGCGCTGACATTTGCAGCAACATGGACTTTCAGCAGGGTGGCCATTACTTTGGCTTCCCTTGACAATGCAGCAGAGAGAGATGGTGACTCTGGTGTGCCAAATGACAAAGCTGGGTACAGGAGTGGCACAATGTCGCCTTTTCAAAAGAGTCCCAGTTCTACGTGCAGTATTCTGACGGCCATATATGTGTCCGGAGTTTCAGGAGACCACACGTCGACTGCTTGCATTCAATATCGGCATAGAGGCCCTGCACCTAGTGTGATAGTTTGGGAATTCATTGGATACACGATGCGCACATCTCTAGTTTGGATTGATGCTAATTTGAATGCAGATGGGTATATTTCTAATATCTTATGTCCCTTGGTTGTACCCTATTTTTGAGGCCCCCAAATTTTATGTTCCAACAAAATAATGCAAGATCACATGTTGCACGTCGTGTTCTGACCTTCCTCGATACACAGGATATTCAATTGCTGCACGGTCTCTAAATCTGTCACCCTTTGAAAACATCTGGTCATAGATTGCTGAGAGACTGGCCCGCCACCCCTCTCCAGCTAATACCATTGAGGAAGTGTGGTGCAGACTTAAAGCAGCATGGAATGAGTTGCCCATTTCTGTCATCCAAGCCCAGTTTGACTCCATGCCTAATGGGGTAAGGGCCATTTTAGCTGTCAGAGGTGGCAACTGTTTCTATTAATTTCACAGCCCTGTTAAACCTCCAAAATGCTAACAAATTTAATCATTTTGTCTTTATGCCATACTGTTTACATGCAATAAATATCTTTATTGTATTTGCTTTCCTTAATGGTGCCGCAATGCAGTGTATATTATTCTAAAAACTGATTTTTATAAAAGCATATTCTAAGGCATGAAATATATAAATACTTAGATTATAAAAATGCGTTACATATTTGAACTCTCAAATACAGTAAATTTGAAATATGTAATAAAAATATATGTAATTTTCAAA